TTATGCCCATTCAACACAATTTCTAGTGGTTTGATGGAAAAAATGTTGCTCTTTAAAAAAACACATTGAATATGCTAAAGATTGAATGAAAATAAAAAGAGAGACGATACTTATAAAACACTCTTTTTAAAGTGTCTAATTCTAAACATTTCCACAGACTTTGTTTTGAAAAATTAGTAGTTTTATGTAAATGGATTAAAAATATCGTTGACAGTAATTTAATTTTCCTCTGAGACAGCTCATTGAATCGTACTAAGCAGAATTACCATAGTTACATAACAGAAAACTCTTACGATCATAATATTTTTATACATTCCTTTTCATACACTTAAAAAAACGTTTTTTCAAGTATCGAGGTACTCTACAAAAACTAAATATTTGTCCTGTTCTAGGATCTTATTAAATGTCGTTTACAAGTCAAACCTCAAAAATATGTAAATTTTATTAATGCATTTAAAGTAACGATTGCGTATGTTTTAACAAACAAAATATTGTTCTATTTGTAACTAAATAAAATAAATTTATTTAGAGAAGAAGGTATTTTAGGATTAAGTAAAGGCTGGGCACCAACATTAATTGGTTATTCTTTGCAAGGTCTTGGTAAATTTGGTTTTTATGAAGTTTTTAAAATTTTCTATGGAGGAATTCTTGGTGAAGAAAATGCTTATGTTTATCGAACATTACTTTATTTATTATCAAGTGCATCAGCTGAATTTTTTGCTGATATTGCATTAGCACCATGGGAAGCTACGAAAGTACGAATACAAACACAAGATAATTGGGCATCGACATTAAGACAAGGTTTACCAAAACTTTATGCCGAAGAAGGACTATGGGGTTTCTATAAAGGTATTGTACCATTATGGCTTCGTCAAATACCTTATACAATGATGAAATTTGCATGTTTCGAACGTACAGTCGAAGCACTTTATAAATATGTCGTTCCTAAGCCACGTGAACAATGTACAAAAACAGAACAATTAGGTGTAACATTTATAGCTGGGTATATAGCTGGAATATTTTGTGCTATTGTTAGTCATCCAGCTGATACTATTGTATCAAAATTAAATAATGAAAAAGGTCTTGGTTTATTTGATGCTGTACGTCGTGTTGGATTTGCTGGTAAAGTATTATTTAATTATCAATAAAATAAGAATAAATTTTATTATTTTCAGGTTTATGGAAAGGTCTTGGTCCACGTATTTTTATGATTGGTACATTAACAGCTCTTCAATGGTTTATTTATGATACAGCTAAAGTCCTTTTTGCATTACCACGACCACCACCACCACAACCACCAAATACAGTACAGAAAAGATATGGTTTTACTAGTGATAAAGGACCGTTAATACTTGACTTAAATGTGAAAAGCTGAACAATAGAATTTTTTAAGAATAGCCCCCCTTTTTAATAACATTTAATTCTTGCTTTCTCTTTTCTTATTCTGCTATTATTTAAATTTCCTGGCGCTTACGTTGTTATTTATGTGATATGTGTATATGAATTTTGTTGAATTTAAAAAAAAAAGAAATAAATAAAACGGATCTCATTGACACAAATATAA